AATACCAATGTTTTATCTTTACTACTTTTTGTAAAAATAAAGTTTTATATAGGTAAAGAAATAATAAATAAGACTTACTCACAATCAATTTAATTTAACTATCAGACGACCGGTTTCGCTTTCTACAATATGCAAAGCATCCTCAGGTCTCGATACAAAGTTAAACAAATGCTGAAATGATAAAAACCCATATTAGGGTGTTGTCTAATAAAGATAAACAAAGTAGATGTTGTAAATTACAATAATTATGCCAATATTACATGTCTGTGGTTTTATTTAAAAGAGTAAGTTGAATAAAAAGTATAAAAGTTTTAAAAGTTTAAACAGACAAGGTAAGGCCCACAAATTGTTATAAAATAGTCTATTAGATTGTAATAAATTAATAAATGAGTAAATAAATAAAATAAACATTACTTACATGCCTGTTTATTACACACGCCTGCATACATAACATGTAAGCATGTTTATTTTATTTATTTGCTCATTTATTAATTTATTACAATCTAATAGACTATTTTATAACAATTTGTGGGCCTTACCTAGTTTGTTTAAACTTTTAAAACTTTTATACTTTTTATTCAACTTACTCTTTTAAATAAAACCACAGACATGTAATATTGGCATAATTATTGTAATTTACAACATCTACTTTGTTTATCTTTATTAGACAACACCCTAATATGGGTTTTTATCATTTCAGCATTTGTTTAACTTTGTATCGAGACCTGAGGATGCTTTGCATATTGTAGAAAGCGAAACCGGTCGTCTGATAGTTAAATTAAATTGATTGTGAGTAAGTCTTATTTATTATTTATTTACCTATTTGAAATGGACTCACACAAGCAACACATTCATGATTTTATAAAGTTTTATCTTTAAATTTTTTTGTGAAGAGACCGATTTGTGAAAACTGGTTCGAATAGAAATTTTTCCTCAGTTTAATTGTATTCAGTGTAAGAAAATGCCCTCGAGTTCGGACTTCGGAGACACCAAAATTATCACCATGTTAGCGATATTGACAGGCGTGGAATTATTGCGTATAGAGATGTGGGTTTGTAGTATCGCGAAATTGGCCGTCGTGTTAATTGTACGCCAATTACAGTTATGTGTGTCTGTCGTGTGTGTACAAACGAAGATAGAGGAACACAAAGAAGATCAACAACTGGTCAACTGAGGCGTACCACAAAGCGTCAAGATAGGCGCTTTAGATTACTGGCTCAAGATAGGAATACATGTTGGTCATAGGATGGTAAGACGCCGCTGTGGAGAGACATGTACATAGTGACAGTTGGAGTATGGTTTGGGGGGCTTTTGCCTATGATAGCCGATCACCACTTTGGTTTATTCGAGGCAATCGAGACATCTTTTTTCAGCAAGACAAGGCGCGTCCTCATATTGCTAGTCAAACTATGGACTTTCTCCAAGAAGCTGGCGTTAATGTTTTGAAGTGACCGCCCCGTGCTCTGGATTTAAATCCTATCGAACATGTATGGAATATAATGGGAAGGAAACTGTCCAATTTGCAGCATTCTCCACAGACTCTGACACCAATCAATACATGAAGTTCAAGTTGCTTAGAACGAGGTGCCACAAGCAGACATCGATTATCTAATTTTGTCAATGTCTAGACGAAAACATGAGTGTTTTCAGCTACGAGTTCGCCAAACACGTTATTAATTTCTTTTTATTACTTGTTAATAATAATTCTTGACAACGCTATCGTTTCATTGTTGATATAAATATACCATGTTGCCAAAAAATTAAGTTTAGAAATTATTCCTTCTGGTTGTCATTCAACACTTCTAATGTCATTGAGTATAATATCCATGAGACAGACAGAATTACCCATTATAGTGTATGGTGCACATCTATATAATTATATTAGCCTTTTATATTTTCACCCCCAACTAATTTTCAATCACAAGCCAATCAGCTTATACTGGGAGACTTTAACAGTCACAGTTTAATCTGGGGCTATGCAGATTCGGGCGCAAATGGAGACGCAGTAGAAGCATGGGCCGAAATGAGTAGCCTCACGTTAATCCATGATCCTAAACTTCCACCATCTTTTCATAGCAAAGTTTGGAAAAGAGGATATAACCCGTATATCTGTTTTTCAAGCAACAACCTCGAAGACCGATGTACCAAAGTAGTATATGGCCCCATACCAAAAACTCCGCATAGACCAATTGGTATAAATATCTTTCCAATTGTCAGACCACAAGCTATTCCATTCAGAAGGAGATTTAACTTCAAAAAGACAAACTGGCAAAAGTATGCAGACATGCTAGATTTTGAACTACTACGCCTTGAACCAAAAGTAGAGAACTACGAAAAATTCGTAGAAGTACTCAAAAATGTGTCTAGAAAAACTATCCCTAGAGGATGTAGACAACAATATGTTCCCGGGATGTCCAGCGAGTCCAAAGAACTAATGAGAACATACGAAACCCTCTATTCCACTGACCATTTTAGCCAAGAAACGGTTGACTGCGGAGCAGTACTACTCCAACAGCTAAGTCAAGTCAGACAGGAAAAGTGGATTGAGACCCTGGAAAAAATGGACATGACACATAGTAGCAAAATAGCATGGAACCTTGTAAAAAAACTCAGCGGTGATCCAAAAGAACATAAACCACCTTGCAAGGTTACAGCAAACCAAGTCGCTACTCAACTCCTTACGAATGGAAGAACTACTAACCGATATAAGGACCCAAACACTAGGAGAAGATTGGATTCGGAGACAAACCACCTAGAAACTCCTTTTACACTAAAAGAACTCCACGACGGTCTGAACAGGTTAAAAAACGGGAAATATGCAGTTGTGGATGATATATGCAGTGAACAAATAAAGCATTTAAGCCAAGGAGCAAAAAACTGGATCTTGCAATTTTATAACACGTGCTGCAAAACCTGCAAAATTCCACATTTCGAATAGCGAAACAGACCTATTTCGCTATTGTGTCACTTTTTTAAACTATGCGAGAGACTCATACTCGCCAGAATAGAAAAAATGTCGACAAGCACCTCATCCCACAACAAGGAGGATTCAGACCTGGCAAATCTTGCACCGGTCAAGTCCTCGCATTAACAGAACACATTGAAGAGGGCTTTGAAGAAAAACTTATAACAGGGACTGCTTTTGTAGATCTGACAGCAGCCTATGACACAGTAAGGCACAAAACATTGCTCCGTAAAGTATACGACACTCTCAATGACCACCATCTGGGAAAGGTCGTATATTCCTTACTGCAAAATAGACGTTTTTTCGTTATGCTGGAGGGTAAAGTAAGTAGGTGGAGAGTTCAAAAAAACGGCCTCCCACAGGGAAGTGTTTTAGCACCAATGCTCTTCAATATATACACAAACGACCAACCTACTCCGACCGAAACCAAGCACTTCCTCTATGCTGACGATCTTGCAATATGTGCTCAAGGAAATAGTTTTGAAGAAGTGGAGGAGAAACTCGAAACTGACTTAAAAACAATGACAGCGTACTACCTGCAGAATTCTCTGAGACCCAATCCCTCTAAAACCCAAGTCTGCGCTTTCCACCTTCGCACAAAGGAAGCCAAGCGAAAACTCCAAATTGTGTGGAATGGTAATGCATTAGAACACACAAACCAACCTATATATCTTGGAGTAACTCTGGACCGGTCCCTCACCTACAGACAACATTGCATAAAAACAAGAGGGAAAGTAACAACTAGGAACAGCATACTCAGAAAGCTAACGGGAAATAAATGGGGCGCACGTCCTGGCGTTTTAAGAACAACGGCACAGGCACTGTGTTTCTCAACTGCTGAATATGCGTGCCCCGTTTGGAGCAGATCTGCCCACACCAAACAAGTTGATACTGCGCTAAATGAGACATGCAGGATAGTAACGGGGTGCATGAAACCAACGCCACTTTCAAATCTATATAGAGCAGCGGGTTTTGCAGAACCCTCAACACGCAGAGGCGCTGCAGAACACATAGAGAAAATTAAACAGATCGCGGACGATCGTCATGCCCTATACAAAGCTCGAACACCACGAAAGCGACTAAAATCTAGGAAAAGCTTCCTTGGAACAGTGCAGGATGAAGCGCCTGAGTATTTTCCACTTCCCCAGGTTCAATGGACCGGCCAGACCCTAGACTTTAAAACGTGGAAAACCTTGAATAGGATAAGAACGGGGGTTGCTACAGTAAAATCAAACATGGCAAAATGGGGAAAAATAGACCAAGATGATGTGAACTGTGACTGTGGAGAAACACAGAATATGGAACATCTTCTTACATGCAGAAACTGTCCTCATCGATGTACCCTTGAAGATTTGTGGCTCGCCAACAAAGATGAACCGACGTAGCCCGATACTGGGCCGAAATTTTATAAATGACATGTCCGGACACGATAAACAAACAAACATCTATATAATCTGCTCAAATTTTTTTACATTAATCCTTTATAGGCAAATTAATACAGAAATGATGTTAGGTTTTTAGTCAATGTTTTTGGTTGGTTGGTTGGTCAATTTTTCAAGAAACCTGACTGCACCCAATTTGTCTAAATTACTGCGTCCATAACATGAAGAAATTATTACTGGAATGCATTAATAGACAGACTATTTTTGCAGCAACATTTATTTTTGTCAGTAAAGGATACATATCAACTAAAATCATAGTAATACACTTACTAAGAACTAAAGGTAGATCACCAGCAATACACCTGACATTTGAAGATGTCGACAGTCTGCATCATCGTATATTTTACAAAATGAACAGTTTAATTAAGGTATAAAAGACTTCTCTTTGAGTACAAAACCTCAAAACTAGTAGCTTATCGATATTTCCAGTTAAGAAATTTTTGTAGGAACTTTTGTATATAGTTAGCAAACTTGTATTATACATAATTGTGGGAAACGGTTTTGGTGTATGGTGTATATTAAACGATATTTGTGGTGAATGGTGTAAATGTCCCGTTTTAATTGTGTTTTGTTCATCATTGTGTGTTTTATAGGCCGTTATCATCGACGTTGAAAAGGAACCCTCTAAAGATTTTGTCCTTGACATGAAGGAAAACAATAATGCTAACCGTGTAAGGGTTACGCCGACTAAAAAAGATAAGGTACTACACTGCACGGTGGTATTTTATTTTAAATTTATTTTATTTACTTATTTAATTTATTTTAATTTAAGTTACACTTTTTTGATGTTAAGAATTTCTTATTTTATTGTATTATTTTCTGACAATCGCGTAGTAATCTATGGATTGTAACCTTCATAATGATCTGAAAATTATTTATTACTTACTTTGTATTTATTTTTTTCCTGTTATACTTGATTTTATTACTACGAGATGCCACTTGCAGATGTTGACATGATGTTAACCTACGAATTGTCATCGGATTTGACATGCACGACAAACCTTTCAACAATGACAAAAATCGATCGATCGAAAAAATGTTTCTTGTTCTTCGTGACTGTTGATAAAACACATAAAAATGTCTACACGTTGGAGATGAAGGAATAGTAAAAGCAGCGGAATAACGACTGTAAAGGTTCATCAAGGAAGGCCAACACCACTATAAATTTCCTAAGATATGTTTGCGTTGGCTTTATTACAATTCAAAAGTTTCACATTGATTATTTAGAAAAGGGAACAGCAATAGCTGACTAATTTCCTAACAAGAACACCCTTATCGCTAGATTTTAACTTAATTTGAATATAATGAAATATAATATAATGAAATATGAAATAATGGAAAACTAAATATGTATACACAATTATAAAAATAAAACATCGGAACAACTGAAAAACCTCCATAACGGAGATGCACTTAAATAAGAAGAAGAATCACTGGCTTATACTATGCAGTTTTATCAATTTTTGAGAAAACCCAATTAGTCTCACAAAAAATATTTTTCATTGACTCAAAGCACCCATTTACAATGCGGAGCTTGCAGAGGAAAATTGTAATATGAATTCATCAAGTATCCACCTTATTTAGCAAATTTAATTGTGTGTGATTATTTCCTGTTCTCAAATTTAACAAAAAAAAATTGGCTTAGAAATAGTCGTGTTGGAATGACTGATGAAGTCATAGCTGGAAATTGAATCGATTTTGAACGGCATGAGCAAAATTACTTCTAGGAAGGTATTAGAAAAGCTTTTCTTACTAAGGCTAGGTCAATGTCAAACAATGGCAATGATCGACCGTAAAGGATTCCAACAAAATATCAAAGAATGTCCCTTTTATCATGGCACCTAGAGTTGTTTTTAGTAAAAATCTATTTTTTTATATAGATTATAAGTAATATTTAATATACGAATTAAACACACACAATTTGGACAAACCCCAGCTCCAAATGACATGTATGTTCCAATGGATCAGTGAGAACAACGTGTCCGGAGATCAAACCGATCACACTCCTTAAAGGAGCAGTACCTATCTGGCCCCCAAACTATAAGCAACCACCCCTCCCCATGGCAGGACATAAGGATTCAGGGGGCTTTTGTACTGAGCGTTACTTTGGATGCCCTGGATAATGGGGCATCCTATGTTTTACTTTATCATTCTTATTATTTATATCACAAAGATTATTCTTCATCTTTTATTATTAGGTATAGTATACTTCAACCATGTTTTTATTCATTTATTCACTTATGGTATGTCTTCCTCCACGTGTTTTCTCTACCATACCTTCGGTCTGGTAAATAACCTTTCTTTATCTTATTAATAATTTAAATAGTTTTTTAATGAAAACTGATATCATTCGATAATAATTTGATAAATATCTGATTAATAAAAACCTTGATAAAATATTCACAGATAATTGATATAATAAATACTCTTAATGGTATTATAAAAATACAGCATCTGTAATTAGAAACATTTGCCGACAGCACAAGAGAATTTTACAGAGTCGAACTTGACCAAATAAGACACTTTTAAATATAATAAATCAGAATGTATTACGGGATCCATATAGAAGAAAAATCACCTAATTATACTTAATATTTCGTGTCGAATGATTGGACAGTAGTGAGCAGCAATGTCCACTGCTAGTAGTAGGAATTTTCAGTTTTCAGAAAATTCATTTAGGTTAGCATTCTCGTTTTTTCAACATTTAGTTATGGTCCCGGTATCCTGATCAGTAGAATAGTAGTTCGACAAGAATTAATGAATTTGGATGTGTTATTGGAGAAATTTCCTTCAAATACCTTGATAATGTTTTTGGAGGGTAAGCTGTAGATGTATTGTCGGAATAAAAGCATTTCATCTCAGTTTAAGCTACCACAAGTGCTCCTGATGAGAGGTGAATACTTCAAAATACGTTTAGAGCAATGGTGGAACTTGAATTGAAAAGATACGTGTAACGATAATAATACCAAAGAGAATTGAAATATTATTATAAAAATAATACCTCAATCAACCATGAGAAATTATCGTCTATGCTTTGCCTAGCTCAGTGTCTCAAGTGTGAATTCTTGTCTTAAACTATGAATTAAACCATGAACCCTTAGCTGATAGCAAATAAAACAATTACTTAACTAATCATATTTATTAAAAATAAAAAATAATATTTAAGTAGGCAAAAACAACCCTGCCAATGCTTTACATTAAATAAATTCGAACGATACTTATGGCATCAGGACATCGATGGGCTGCTTGCTACCAAATATCTATGACCTCCCAATCAGGTGGTTAGGTTCTCCTGACAGCTGCAGTCATTCCATAAATTTTTTCATAAAATATTCAGTAAAATCTTCTATTAATGTCCAGTTATTCTATATTCTCCAATAGTGTTTTAATACAACCAATAAATTCTACAATAATGCCAATAAACTCTCTAATACAATCAATAAAACCAATAATACAGCCAATAAACTAGAATATTAAACATCATGTATTAGAAAAACATCACGGAGTTTAATTTTCTTACCATTTTACAAAATTACAATTAAACAAATAGCAGATGGCAAGGATAAAATCTATTGAACTTAGCTAAATTTTGTTACGATTCATATATACATATAATCGAAAAACGTAGCTTAAAAGAAGTGAGGTTATGAATATTGAAAATGATGACATAGGACGTATGCCTATGATGGAATTAGCTCTTCTGTCAACATAGAACAGAATATTTAGTCTACCGGACAGAAGAGAGAGAGAAGGCAAATATTTATTCTACGGGACAGAAAGAGAAAGGAAAGACAGAGGACGCCAACTATTTTTTGAAGAAAAAATAGTAAAAACGAAACTGAAGGCAAAGGAAATTAATAAATTAATAAAGATGTGACGTTTATAACATCACAAACGCAATCGTCTAGTTTACTTTGTCCTCAGCAGATCACGACACTATGTACGTGTGTTACAGACAAAGTAAAGATCATCCGAATGGCCGCCAATGGTCTTGTATATATCAAGCTTTTCAAAACTCCAGCCCCTCCCCCATTCATTTTCTGCAGATGAAAGGGAAACTGTGAAAGTATGTGTGGTTGCCTACAAGTAGGTCTCAAATGCTCTGTAGTGTGCCTCAATTATTCTGGTGAAACCTGGACTGACATCATGGAGTATTAAAATTCATCAAAAAATTAGAACAATTCGAATTACCCACATTATGCCAATTTCCTTTCTTTCGCAAACATTCACCTTCGGTACTGAATTAGATCCTGAACTGCAGTCTGGACCATCAAAGAAAATGAAAAAAAATAGCTGGAAAACAACTTTTTAAATATATATAATTATGCTCAATATTATCTCGCCTGGAAATTATCAGTGAATTAGTCCTATTGAGGATACCACTTGACCAGAAAAAAGTTATAAGGCCCAAAAGAAACTTTGTTTAAAATTTTTTTTTGTTTATAACTTTTTAATTTCCAATCTTACGATAAAAAGTAATAGTAATAAAGTAGTAGAACATTTAATTTGCTACTAAAATTTTCTATAGGGTTGCTAATTTACGTGATACAGCGCGAAAACCCTTTCCCCCCTTTTTCTAAGATGGCGGCCGGGGGACATAAGTGGCTTGAACTTAAGCTTATACTATTTACCCCCACACATAAAAAAAATAAAATTGCTTCATCTCAAAAATGTAAACCAAAATTTGAGAAACCAATGTAAAAAAGAAATTGAAAGCATTGCAAAGTCAAAATTTTTGCGAGTATACCTGCTCTCTTTTTCCATTTTTTTGAAAGTATTGCAAAGTCAAAATATTTACCTACTCTCATTTTCCATTTTATTGAAAACATTGCAAAGTCAAAATTTTTGCGAATATACCTGCTCTATTTTTCCATTTTATTGAAAGTATTGCAAAGTAAAAATTTTTGCGAGTGTTTGCAAATATTTTATTTATATTTGAATATTTCCCATCCCATAGTTTATTTTACAACCCCGTCGTAAGCTCTGTTAAACCTTGATAAACAAGAATTATACTTCTCTGAAGTTAAATACATTTATGAGAACCATCTATTTAATCTGCACATCGTGAAAATAATTTTTGTATTTTCACAGTACCCCGAAATGCTAAAATACAGTCCTGGATACAAAATGAACATCAATAACTAACAAATGTGTACAATTTATGAGACATAAAGTCTCATATGGCATAATAATAGAACGCATACATGTTTTGTCGTCTCATCATCCAATATCAGTGAAAAATTGATTAATAAATGGATGGGTTGTGGTCGGTAAAATTAGCATATCTACCTTTTTATTCGTGCTAAATTATTAACATTTTTATTAAGAAAACAAGATACTCTTTTAACTTGATTTCTAACCTTAAATATTACAAATGCTTCTCTTCTTCCTTTTTAAATTTCTTCTCAAATTCAGTTAAATTGCCTCTACCTTTTTGAATGTGGCTTACGCTCTATTGTCTGACTTCCTTTGTATGATAAAAATCTTTGTTTATAGAGAAAATTAAATAATTTGTTGGAGGAGAGCATATTTAAGAGAAATTCGAAAACTAAGAAGAAAAGGTACTGATTTTTTTATCTGGATGAATCATGGATTCATGGAAGACATATTGTAAGAAAAGTTTACTAGGATAAACAGGTTATAAATGCTCGTTAGACGTTTACTGAAGATTTGTCTAGTGGATTCAAATTTCCAACTGATA